GGATGCAGAAGGCTACGTGGAAGATCTAGATGATGAAGAGGAGGAGGAGGATGGTGTGTGAGATTGATCTCTAGTTGAGGTTGACTCCCAAGAACAAAACTCCATATCTTTGCCTTATTTGATGCAGCAAAACCATCCACAGAGTTATCTGTATCAGTTTAGTTTGTCCTGGAAACAGGAGACGGAATGAATCCTGAAAAATTCCTAGATTCCAGTGCCCTGTACTTCTCATTGGCACCAAATATTGATGAACATTGGCATCTTGCACTGGAATGGTGGAGTAAATATATAAGAGGACCTCTGACTAGCAGAGGTAGTATCTATATGTTGATTTTATTCCTCTTTAAAATTACTGGAAACACAACCTCTGGACGTGATAATGGCCACTCCTACAGATTGCTTTCAAGGGGATTACAATAAATTGGAGGAAGAGGCAGTGGCTGATACATACAATGGCTTAGTAGTGGGACCTTTGTTTAGAAGGGACAGTAGAGGCCAGAAACAGCTACCTATAGTCCACACCCTGATTCTGAATTTCCAACAAGTTTTAGGCATAACTGCTGCTTAAAAATCAGCGACTATTCAAGTAGATGGATTCCTTTGGATCTAATCCAAGGGTAGTTCTTATATTCGTGCTCTTTTTAGTATCGTGGTTCTCTTTGTTCTTAAATAACTGGCTTTCGTGGCATGCCACACCATACGGTGCAGAGGTGTGCCGTGTGCAAGCAAGGAGCTATTGGCCTGGGGATTGTGGGGAATCCTGTCCTTGTTCTGCAGTTAAGGTTACTGAACAGGCAGGTTCTTTGCAAGTCTATTGCCTGAAAGTTTAATGCTAGAAATAATGTTGACAAATGAAAAATACTCAGATGATAGGAATGTAAGCATTGATTAGACTTCAGAAATATTTGGAACTGACCTTCACGTCTTTTCTCTTGTTATGTTCCACTTCATAAAAACATCAGGTGGTTTTGCTGTTTTAAATAGATTTAGTTGGTTTGGAGCGTTTCGCCTTCAATTTGCAGGAGATGAGAGAAGTGGCAGAACTATATGATAGGTTGCTTAATGTTCTTGGTCTTCTTTTTGGGAAACCCGAAATGGGCTCTTTATTTATTTAGTTCATTAAATGCCTGTCTTCTGCCTTCGAGGCCTGTCTCCTTTCTGAGCCCAAGGTAGTTTGCACAGCGATTGTTTCCCTAGTGTGGAAGAGAAGAAGAATGCAAACACTTCATAATCCCAACTTTCAGATAGCTGAAGGAGGGTGAGTGGGAGAGTGGGAATCTGGTATTTCTGTACTTGCTCAGTGATCCCCTCCCTAGATTTCTCCTGCAAAAGTTCATATCCTGTCCTGACCGTAATGGTGCTCTTGAGCTTCATGGCCTGGGACAGATAAAGCAAAGATTTAGGAGGAGAACTGGAAGAAAATGAAATTGATCCTCTCCTTGGACAAGGTGATAAAATGGTTTGATTTTTCTGTTTTGTTTTTATAGAAGAGGACTATGATGAAGAGGCTCAGTTAGGAGACTATGAATTAGAGGAAGAGGAGGATGTGAGTGGAGAAGAGGAGGATGTGAGTGGAGAAGAGGAGGTAAGACTGTAGTAATTAGGGGAGAGAATTAGACCAGCTGTAGGCATCTTGTTTTGGAATGCAGGATGGTGGGCTCTGGTCAGCCAGAGCAGATAACTGCCTCATATCAAATGTGGTTATGGCAATTCCCCTTCCAAAGCAAAGTAGTTTTTCCAATTTAGACAAGTTCTAGATGCAATAAAACATGTTTGCTTTTTCTCTCTGGCAGGAGGATGAAGAGGATTATAAAGATGGTGAAGTAGATAATGAAGAAGAGGATGAAGAAGTTGGTATGTGCAAAACAAACCGTGAGAAAACCTCTGCCCTGTTTAAAAGGCTAGAGAATCAGGACAGTAGCACAGATCTGAGAGACTGACTGTTATGCTGGGGGGGGGGGAGGTTAAGGTCTTGGCCTGGGAGCCCGGTTCAAGTCATCCCGCAACCAGAGGCTTGCCTCCCCCCAGAAGGAAGCTCTTTGGAGAGAAAATTAGGAGAGGCTTCCAGTGAGCATGCCTTGAGCTCTTAAGAGGAAAAGTCAGATATGAGAGAGAAACTCGAGAGCTATAGCTTCTATTTGGTACGGCCAGGAATTTCTTCAGGGAAAAGTTAGTTTCTTCATTGACTATAGAGCTTGCAGAGTGGCCTGGAACTCTTCAATATGTAGTTGGAATTAAACAGATACCAACCAGCTAATTTAAAATTAAAAGTGTGCAAAGCAGCCACTGAGTGGATTAGTACTGGGTTAATGTTTTTATTTTATTCCTCTTCTTTGCACATATTTTATATGGGGACATGCTTTTAATAATGCTTAGCTAACCAGTTTCAACAGCTGGGTGCAGCCTGTACTGTAAAAGTTGCAGGGTGGAACTTTGCTCCCCGTGGAAGTGGGGCAGGAAGTGCGGTCGAATTTGGCAGGCGGTGGAAACGGCTTTCCCCCAGAGCAGCTCTGGCCTTTGCGCAGCTGGAAATCGGGCTTAAACATAAGTGGGTTGCTTTGCAGCGATACTTTGCCCCCATCACAGAAGCCCTCCGTCTCCTGCGGACGGCCTGGGGAGGGGGGGTAGCTGATGGGGCAGAGAGATGTCCCTCATCCTGATCCTGCAACCCTTTCCTTTGACAGATGAAGCCCGGGGGGAGAAGAGAAAACGAGAGGCCGATGATGAAGGCGAGGAGGAAGATTAAATGCAACGTAATCTGTTTTGGGGGGAAATAAGTTTCCTATTGTGATTTGACTGTTTATACCCTGTATTTTCACCCCTTCTTACCCCCCCTCCCTGGAATGTAATGTTGATGTGAGATCAAGAAGGAAATGCTTAATTTTATGGGCAAGGGAATTAAAATAACATATTTTTTAAAAAAACCTGCCATTCTGACTGCTACATTTTGTTTCTGAAAAAAATACTTTATCTGTTATTCCTGTTTATGCAGTAGCAGACAGAACGCAAGAGATAACTTCATTTTTCTTGAAGTGGCTCATCTTGGACTCTAGATTTTTTTAAAAAAGTTTTTTAGAAATAAATATGAGCCGGAAGATTTCCACAATGATTCAAATTGATGGCTGGAGCTGGAGGGCGGAGGGATAATTTGAGCCTGAAGACTCAGTGGTTTCCCCCCCTTTTTGTTATGAGGATATTGTAAGTATTTCTTTCTTCTTTTCTGGATGCAGCAAAATTGGCCGTGGGAGCATTCCAGCCGCCGCCACCGCAGGGGAGCAGCAGCATCTTGATAACCAAGTGTTTTCTTGTTACCTGTTTTGTGAATGGCTGCCGTTCCCAGAAACCCTTTTCTTCCACTTCCTATCGGTAACATTTACTTGGCTGTTTGTAAATAGTGACCAACTATGTAATTTCTCTCGCCTTTCTCTCTCTCTCTCTCTCTCTCCCTCCCTCCTTTTTAGTTGGTTTGTGGGGGTGATTTTGCAAATTTTTATTTTAAAAAATCTTGTAGAGCATGGCTGGGCAAGCTCTCCTGGGATGGGAACCGCTCAAGAATATGGCAGGATCCTTGTTCAGCTCCCATTCTGGTTGGTTCGTATTCTGACTATTCAGGGGGTCTAGAGCAGTTCTCTGTAAACAGCAGTCATGGAAATATCTATAAATATATATAAAAAGTGTTCCTAATTTCCTGAGTTAACTGGTGAATTGCATTTGACAGTTGTAATAAAAAAAGAAAATGTTTGAACCCTTTTAACTAAAGTGTGTACTATTTTGGTCTGTAAAATACTATATATAAAAATATATTAACAACTCCTTGATATTAGGTGATGAGAATCTGTTTCCACGTGTGCTCTACAATACTCTGAAGATCTTTGCAAACCTTTTAATTACCAGAGGAGACAGTACTGGACGCCCAGGCCAGTCGGGTCTCTTTTCATACACGAGCAAGGATTGCTGAAAGAAAAGTTGTATTTTCTTAAAGTCAGTAAATTGACTGCAAAGTATCTAGTTGAATGTACAGATTTAATTTCGTGTCCCTCTTCAAATAAGAGCTCTAGAAGTGGCTAGTATTTTCTAGTAGTTTCTCATCTGTATATAAACAAGCACGTCCATTGCGACCTTCCCGCTTGCTCCCCAAAGAGCCAAACTTTTTGAGTTTTATGTCTTTGTTAATTATGAATTTCAATAAATCTTTTTATACCATTTTTTTCCTGTGGCTTATTGCAGTAAATGGGCCACATGGGAATTTTCTGCTTGATTTTAAAGTTTTTTTTTTAAAGAATAAACTTGTAATTATTTTAAGAAACTTTAAACTTTTTTTAAAAAATAAAATTAATTAATCACAATGGCTCAGTCCAGCAAAGCAAAATACCTCAGGGTAACAGGAGTTGAGGCCTCGTTGTGTGGCTCTACCTGCAGTATCTTACTTTCAGGCTTCCCAGAGGAGCCCGCTAGGCCCCTGGAAGAACGGGAGCTACCTGTCCAGGAGTAGAATATTCCAGAACACTCTGCAATATTCTGTTTCTCCTGTGGGCCACAGTGACTAGGCCATTCTAGGGAAGAAATGGGAACAGCCCAGGGTTCTATAGAAAAAGTAGTTTTGCACACCCCTTATATCCGATAGATCTGATTTTTTATGTCAGGTTAATGAGGAGTTTTGCAACCTCTGTAGCCTCATTGGTTTTCCATTTCCATCAGATCCCTTGGGAAGATCCTATTCTAGCTGGGAACGTTCCTCCGCAGAGACTTCTTTCCCTTAAGGAAACCATCTTGATTTGTCTACTCACAAAGTAGGTGGAAAAATTCAAGAGGCCGAATGTGCTTTCACTATCCATCCAGCTGTTATGAAGACTACAGTAGATAGCCGCTTTCTAAAAAAATCCTGGGCTTTATTTCAGAGTTTATTCCATGAGTCTCTTTGCTCTGACTCCTCGTCTCCCCACCGTCCTTTGGAAGGTTTCCTCATTGCACCCAGAAGGCAAGGAGACATCACAACTGACCGGTTTGCTATTTGGGTAGCTTTATTTCATCGCTATTGTAGGGCGGCATAAATAAGCAAATGGGAACACTGAAGTGGCACAGTGGAAAATCAGTGTTAGGCACAGAATACAATGTGAACCTTGATGGCAGAGATGCAAAGAGAAAAGAGGCCTAGTTGCCTGACAGTCCTTGTGAATTAAAGGTTTGGGGAAAGTAGATCCCAAAGAAATCTTTGGTGCGCAATGTGGAATCTCTGGCAACCCAGCTCTAATTTTCAAGGAAAGTGATTGTCCGCATACTGGTGTGGGAAATGTGAAACCGCAGGACCAGAAGCCCTGAGAAGTTGAACTGGGCAAAGCCCAAAAGTCAGCTTTTTCTGCGCTTGATGGACAAAACTGATCCTGCTAGATTCACTCTTCTGCACAGTAAAAGCTTGTCCTAACATGCTGGCTTATTCCCCACAACATCTGAATGGGATGATTCCCAAGCCATAGTTGAGGGAGAGCAGAACTAGTATGGCTTCAATACTTTGAATGCGTCCCCTTAATCTGTTGAATTGGCCAACCACTTAGCTAGTTCCAAGCCAGCGAGAGCTGGATCAAAGCCAGGTTTATCACTAATACAGCTAAGTGTGCTGGCTGGTCCAGGGGCAACACAGGCAGCAAAATATGTAGGGCCAGCCTTGGAGATAACAACTTTGGGATTAACAGGCTTCCTAGAGTGGGACACCAAGCAATCCTGACCAACCAGCAGTGAGTGAGAAAGCATTTGTTTAGTTGCACACATGGCGTGAAGGCAGAGTCAGAATCGGCTCAGCCATCGTAGCAACAGCAGCAACAGCACACTGATGTCCCAAAATGGTTATTATGGAGAAACCACCCTCCTCCCCAACCCTTCTGCAGGATGCTGCCTACTAGCACTCTTTAATATCTTGTTTGTTTCTGAGATTTTACCCTGAAATTATTTTGGTAAATAGCTCAAGGCAGCAACCTATGAAGTGTATTGAGCTGAGAGGGAGAGACGGGGCCAAAGTCACCCAGCTATCTGTCATGCTGAAGACAGGACTGGAACTCAGACTCCTGGATTCTAGCCTGCTGCCTTGGTTATACCCTTCCTGGCCCTCCTCCTTTGTTCCCGGCTCCCCTTTGGCAGCATACAAGGTGTTCAGCTCCAGAAACCTTCTTGGATATGAAGTCAAGATGGTCGTGATAGGGCAGTTGAGCAAAGCCCTCCTAACGCATCATGGCCCCCATACTGATTTTGAAATCTGCAAACTCCAATCTCTATGGGTGCCCCTGTCTGATGCTAAAGGTTGGCCCTTTGTTGTGCAGGTAGCATGCCAACTCCCTCTCTTAAAAAAGATGGGGGGGTTAGGCTAAATAATGAGAATGGACCTGCAGTTTTATAAGTGCCATGAAAGCTATCAGGGTGTCACACCCCACAATTAGCTCATTCACTCAATAAGCAGATCTGCATTTGGACAGGGTGGGCAGTGGCCATCAATCTTTCTGGGTAGCTTCAGTGAGGGCCACAAACTGGCCCTTTGCCAACTGCTCCATTAGCTGCTGAAGAACCTGAGCTGTGAATCTGAAAACTGTCAGGACGGGAGAGTCAAATTTAAATACAGGTCTACTGTGCACTGCTTCTACCAAAAGGAATAAAACACACCATAACTCATATGCTTCTTATGGAGAATACATTAAAAGCGCTTAACTTTTGCTGAATTAACTGCTTCCCACTTGAAAAGCCGGCTGGGTCCTTCATTTGGATTCTCTTGATAAAGAGAATTTCGGATTGTATTCCCTCAAAGGCTTCATCTACTTGCCACTTAACAGCATCTATCTCCTTTTGTCAAGAGGAATTTGGAATATATACGTCCCTTGCCTTTTCATGCAGTAGCTCTCGAGTTAAATCATACAAATAACTTTTTAGTGCTAGGCAATGACCACAGGAGAACAGGCTTCCAGTTAGCAGGTGTACCCGTGTGCTAGCACAGGGTCTCTGGCTCATATCACGTGTTAAGTTGATACAGTAAAATTAAAGAGTGGGTATAAACAAAGAGTTTGTTTTAAAAAATTCCTTCAGAGTCCATTGTTTTGGGGGCTATTGCGCAAGTTTTTTAATTCCAACTGTAGCTGTCGGATTTTGATGTCTTTCTGCGAAAGCTCAACCTTCAGTCGACGGATCTCGTCTTGTTGCCGGAAGAACATTCGGAGGAGCTTCATGTAAGACAAGAAACAGAAAAGGATCAAGTGTGAGACTGAATAGGTTGGAACAATTGCAGCGCTTGTGCCGCAGGATCCGAGATGGCCCCCTCTGTAGCCTTGGAACTCCTGTTCCCAGAGAACCTGGGAAATTTCGCTTTGCATGGACAGGAATGGAACTGCTGGGGACCAACCTGCAAGCCTCCGGCAGTCCAGACACAGCCCGGTGGACCTACCCAGGTTCACGGATGGAAAAGCTGGCAGTAATTTCCTTTTCCGGATTGGAGAGAGCACAAGGGCTGTTCCTTACCTCATTCTCTGTTCTAGGAGGCACATTTTCCAAGAGGTCTATCCCATTAACAACAATGCTCTTCTTCTCTCTTATTGGTGGTTTAAAAACTACTTTGGACTCTTTCTTATAGCCTTCCTTTAAAGACATCAATATGGGATCTGAAAAACAATATAAAACTCACATCTCAGGACAGGCACCAATGGAACAATAAAAAATAGGAGATACCAGAGCCTCCAATCTTAGGACTATTACTTTCGCCAGCAGCACAATGTCCACATACAATTGATGGGGGGGGGGAGACTTCTATTTTCCAAATTCATTATGAATGCATGTCACGACTTCTGGAATTATCAACCTGTAGATCCAGTTCTCTGTGGCAACTACTCCACCATTCCCCATAATTTTGAAGCTGACATGGCTGCTATCATGGCTGCTATCTATATTATCTATTTTTTAAGCTCCTCCTGTTATTAGGATCCTTGTTGCTTGGTGATGCAGGCATTCTCAGTTACCCAGCATGATGAGTAGCTTGACATCTACTCCCCCCCCCCACTGAGATTTCTAGGCCTTGTTCTCAGAAGAGCCAGACTAGCAGATTGTCCTGGTATTAGGGAAGATGCTGAGTCGATTGCATAAAATATTGTTTGTGGAAAATAATTAAAAAGGGATTTATTTGGTCCTCCACTGACCAGGAGCTGCCCATATAAATGGGTGATTTGGGCTCTTGGGGTTGTGGTGGGGAAAGCAGGAGGAGGAGGGAATTTAGATATGCTCACCAATGAGTTATTTATAAAAAATAACAATGGGATAAAAAAAATCTTTTAAAATTTATTTCTTTTTAATGATTATAGAGTGTTGAAGAAAAGCATGGTTTGAAATTGCCCCCATTCAAGGGACAACACAGACTAAAGTAATCACCAAGCTGGTTCAGAGGAAGGTATGAATCCTGGAAGAGGTGAAAGAAACACAGAAACAGAGCTTCACAGGGCTGGAAGGGAACTTCAAGGCCTTCTAGCCCAACCCCCTTGCATCCCTGACAAATGGGATGTCCGATCTTTCCTTGAAAACCTGCACAACTTCTAGAGGCAAGCAGTTCCACTGGTTGATTGTTCTCACTGCGAGGAAATTTCTCTTGGAAAGCTCCAAGCTGTTCCATTGATTCAATTAATCAATTGTTCTCACCTTCAAGAAATTTTTCCTATTCTTTAACTCTTATCTTAAACAGGTATTGACATAATATATTAGAAGTCTTATATTTGAAAATACTAGGAATATCAGCATATTTTTACAATTCTTTCCTTGATGACAAATCTGGAACTATTTTTTAAATGCAGTTGACTCTAGAATCTTCCTAAAGCCTTGATCATGCAAGACGGTTCAGCTCAGGTTATGCGTGATGAGGCAAAGGCCAGAAGACCAGCTGCAGGTGCCAGCATGCTCACCCCTATTCATTCCACTCAGCCACTCGTCTGGGGTGAGCGCAGGTTCCGGACCCGGAGTCATTGGGTAGATATCTTCCTGGTAAGTTTCAGACTAAATCAGAAAGAAGAGAAACAACTTGTCTGAAACCCTGAGCTGGTTCCAATTTGCTATGTTAAACTCCAAAAGAGATTTGCACTGAGGATAATTAAACCAAAACAGACGAGCCCTTTCTCCTACAGTGGCAATCCCTCCCCAAGAGGAACAAGTTTCAGCCATTTCATTGTAGTGGGTAGTTTGGATTTTTTTTCAGACAGCCATTTGGGAAGAAGTGTGCATTCCAATATTTTCAAGCATACCCATTTGGCTGTCATTAGTAAGATTGAGTCCAGTGCCTGGATATACATTTTCACATACTGGACTGAACTGCTTTTCTCCTGGACAGGTCTAACTCCCAGGTCCTTTCTGATACACAAACAACTGGAACTCAAGTGCACTGCTAGAGAAAGGAGGCACCAGAGCGGTAATCAAGCAACCTTCAAGGACATTGGCTTTCAAGCAGACCTCACATTCCTCCCAAGAGGTCATTTAAAGGAGGTCTGTTCTATTATGAGCAATATTCTGTTAAGTTCTGTGATGCTGCCCTTTTCCTTTGAAGCTGGGCAGGAGCTGTTAATCCCACATCTCATTAAACATCGCTATCATTCTGATCGGTTTTACATATAACTTTTACTTTCAACTTCACGTGATTCCATTTACAAACGAAGGCGAATGTACGTGTCCCACGATAATGTTGCATGATCTAATCTGGGTTGGTCACCAGAATCAAAGATTTAGTCTTCTGAGGTTTCGGACTTGTGCTGGGGCCCAGCCTCAGGGAACGTCTCTCTCGAGTGTCACGTTCTCCTGGTTCCCTGGTCCCGGTGACCAACCCAGACTGGATCCTGCTTCCATTCACTTAAGTGTGGCCCAGTTTTGTCATGTTTTATCCAAGATGTGCGGCAGTTTTCTTGCTTGATCTGTTTTCTTAATTTCCCAGTTTGGATACATAAAGAGTTTAATGGATAGTCACTGACCACAATAAAAATACTGATGAGCAAGAGGAAGACGAAAAGGAGGAAGACTGGCCTTTCCCTTCCTCTAAAAGCCTCTGCTGTGAGCAGGCGGGAAAGTGGCAAACTCCCTTTATCTCTAACCTGAAGTAGAAATCAAGATGATGGAATCTCAGCAGAAGATATTTGGGTTTGTGGCACCGGAAGAGAAATGATCCAAAGATGGAACTGAGCCCAAAATTTCTGTTGCTAAATGAGACAGTTGTAAGTAAATTTTACCTCATTTTACAACCTTTCTTGCCACAGTTTTTAAGTAAATCACTGCAGTTGTTAAGTTAGTAACCCGGTTGTTAAGTGAATCCGACTTCCCCATTGACTTGGCTTGTGGGAAGGTTGTAAAGGGTGATCCCGTGACCCTGTGACCCTGCATAACTGTCATAAATACCAGTCAGTTGCCAAGCGTCTGAATTTTAATCCCGTGACCGTGGGGATGTTGTAAGTGTGAAAAAATGGTCATTGATCACTTTTTTCAGTGCTGTTGTAACTTCGAACGGTCACTAAATGTTGTAAGTTAAGGACTATCTGCAATTCAGTTTATCCCATGGGTAGATAACAGGCACCTTATCGGTGAGATGGGTGGCTTATTAATTTAATAAATAAATAATAAACAGACCAAACCCACAAGAATTAAAAATAGCATAAACATAGATTAAAATGATGCAATTGCCATCTTTACTTGACACCCCCCCCACACACACACACAGACACCCCTCTGCAGACACCCTGGACTCACAGCTGAAAACAGAAAAGACTCTGTCTAATTACTCACTCTCCTCGGTACAATCATAGAGATTGGCTCAATTAATCCTTTCAGTGTGACGAGCTTGTAAAATCGAAACACCTCACATGCAGATACATCCAGGCCGTGCTTCGGCATTACTCCTGCATGTATAAAATTTAAGGAAAGAGGACTTAATGAAAAATTTCTGTCTGACTTGTGAGCACATCTTTTGATATGGCATCATAGCAGCCCCACAATAATTCCCTGCAGGTTTTTTTTTTTTTTTACTGTCATTTGGTGTTCCCTTACTTTTGAGCTGGAACTGGAACTACAGGTTCTATGTTGAATCAGCACAGCTGATTCAGTTCCTGACTGCAAGCACAAGTATCAGGACTAAGCATTAAGTTCCAGTTAAGCTGATTTATTGCTCATGCCTCTACACCAGAATGTAGTCAACTAAGAGCACTAAATTGGTGCTTGATAAGAGTTAATGGGATTTGAGAGGGGCTGGACTTGGACCGTTTGTGGCAACATAATGACTCTAGGCTTATTTCTCTCTTGATTTCACCCCCAGGCCCTGCCTCTCCTTCTCCTACATTGGCTGAATTATTGTTCTTCTATTCATAAACCCTCCACTGAAGGAGAAAAAGGAATCAGTCCCACATCAGTGAAAGGAAACCTTAAGAGTTGCCAAGTCTGTTGGGGCAGGAAGGAAGTGGGAATAAAGACAGGAAAGATAAAGATTGGAAAACTAAACTGAAAAAAACATGGCGAGAGAGAAGCTCTGAAAAACACTGACTAAAAGAAAAGGAGCTTGGAATGACTTTGATGAAATATATCGTGACAGAAGAAAGAGACCACAGAGTCCTTGATGCTCTCTGAGCTTGGTTGTTTGCTTGCAGATGATTCATTGCCCAATCAGGTAACATCATCCGTGCAAGTGAGTACCAGGAACTCAACAGTTCAACCTTGAGCTACATATATTCTTTTCTTTAGGAGAATAAGAACTTTGTGGCGTTATAGCAAAAGGACCGTGGATAATTTTTCTCTCTATCTCAATCTTTTCTTTTAGACAGTCCAACAGACAATAAGCACCCCTTACCAAGGCCTTTCTGTGGGGCTGGAGAACGGAACTCCATCAGGTAGGTCAGGTATGGCTTCTCCGTGTTGATTTCGTAGTAGCGGATATTCCCGTCTCCCTGAGGAGAGAACAAGAAGAGGAGAGATAAATCAAAGGCATCCTCTGAACGTTATAAATTTGTTTATAAGAAAAAATAGACCTGTTGGAATGTGAGAAGACAACATCTATAATCAGATAAGACCATTACTGGGACAGTGGCAGAAAAGATGTCACAAGCTTCCGAGGGCTCCTAAACTTTGTTGTTTGAAATGAAGAACTGTGGAGAATTCAAAAGCTGGAACGCAGTTTGATTGGTCAATACTGTCAACAGGTTTATAGCAGCTTCCTTTAGAATTTCATTTTTCCTCACAGTTTTGTGAGGTATTTCATTTTAGGGCAGAAAAACTAAGGCTAGGTGATAAGAACTAAAAGTCAAGTTACTATCCCTCAAAAGTACTTAAAGAAATGTTATTTATTACTAATCAGGCTAGATTCAGTTAAATGTTATGCCTGTCAGAAAACAAGGGGATGGCCAATGTGTATCCATATTCCTGATCTCTGTTTTTAAAGCCCAACTTCACTCTGAGGAAGACTCAGATCCAGCTGGGTTACATTGTTCTACTTGGTGGGATGGTCCTCAGTACTTCCTTATCTATCTTTCCAGACCAAAGAGACATTCCTTCCATTATGTTGCCCTGCAGCGAGATGGATGGCAAACAAATTTAATCTGTTATTAAATTAAATTATGGAAACTGTGGATATTTCTCTGAAATAGTTCCCTAAGAGAGAGCACCAACAGAGTGAAGTAAATGGAAAAGTCAGCCCACTGCAGCAACAGCTCTCTCTAACACACCTAACTCTATCCACATTTCACTGAACTTGCCAAGACTAAGCACCAGTAAATTGGTCTCTCTTGACTTTTACATACCTTACGTGATCTTATTAGTTTCATCTAGTTTACTTCCCCTCATGACTTTAAGGGAGAGAAAACAAGTTGTACGAATTTCAACAAAACTAATTCTAAGAACACATATGCATAAAATTATAAACAATATTTAAATGTGGAATTAAACTGGTTGACATATTAGATCGAAGATGGACAACTTGATACCTCCAAAAAGCCCAAGACAGGCCTGTATCTAAATAGATTAAAATTTCACATGAGATCTTTGCATTTAGGTTTTGGTCCTTGTCCCCAGTTCTAGATGAATGAAACAGTTTTGAGTGAGTGTAAATGTGTGTACTCATGCTTCCTCCCAGCAAATCCTGGACAGTGCAGAACATTTGCAGAATACCACATGCTCTCTGCAATGCAAGCATCTATGCTCAGAAGCAAGCCTCACATACCTTGCCAGCCAGGTACAACATGTGGGTGTCAGCATCATAGAATGGGAAGAGAAGGCCTGATAATCCGTCAATCTCTTCCTCTATCAGTGGCATGGATAGATCTTCCTGGAGGAATGCAAAATAAACAAACATTTTGTCAGTTTTGCCTCTTTTGGAGGCAAAAATAAATAAATAAGATCGGGTCTTATTTTCAGGGAAACATGGTAAGAAAGAGGCAACCAGAAATCTTTCTCTTCAATGATATTGTAAAAGCAGATTTTTGTGTTGTTTTGTTGGGCCTGTCACCTCGCATCTTGCACAAACATGCAATTGTTTTCCTAACCTGATCCCAGAGAGCAATCTGCCTGGTGTTCCAGCGTGACACACCAGTTGTTAGAAGCCTCTTGATGTTCCCTAAGAAGACCACACGGTTCACACGGTGATTCTTGCAGTTTGCCTCCTATGAAAACAAACACATCATTGACTCAAAAAGCTGGCTACTCCTTTGTTGGAATGGTTAAAAAAAAAAATCACCATCCAAAAATGTCATTTTAAATTCCCAGAACTTAAAACAAGATCGTCCAATGCTGTGCATAATAAAAAATTAAAGCAACATTTTAATAGTTTTACATTATATGATGCAGTGAAATCTTGGTTTTCTCTACTGAAAATTGATTTCAGTTAGCAATTTCAGCCAGTGATTTTGATCAGCAAATTTATTATAGGGGATGGGAGGCTGAAGGCTTTTTCCTTCAACCCCGTCTCAAACGGAAACCATTCTTTGGAGGAGAATTAGGCAGGGAAGAGATACCCTCTCTTCGGCATCTACCGTTGTGATCACAACGAGGCATCGTTCCTTATTGGTGGCTGTTTCAAAAAAACTCCTCCACCTTTTGTCTGTCTAGGCCAGGGGTAGGCAACCTTGGCTCTTTTATGACTCATGGACTTCAACTCCCAGAATTCCTGAGCCAGCATAGCATACTCCTGATCTAGGCCCTCCAAAGAAGCTCCCACCTGGAGGACTTTGCCTGAACGTGGCTCAATGACCCGTAGCTTCCTGTCTTTGCAAGTGGTGGAGAGTAAACTGCCATTTGTGTTGAAGGACATGCAAAGGATGACGTCAGAGTGGCAGTCAATCATCTTCACCGGTTCACCAATATCTAAGTTCCAGATGAGGATCTGAGAAAGAAGATGCAGATCAAACAGAAACCGACTTGCTTACAGATATCTCACAGAAAATACTTTAATGTCCTCTCCCTCCTGCTATAGCTAAAATCATGGAGGAACGGTAAACAAGAAAATAAATCCAGCTCATCACTATCTGATATCTAAACTTTTTTGGCAACCAGCAACCTTTCGGGAAATCAAGAGAGAATCAAGCTTTTCGCGAGCTCCCTGAAAAGGTCGAGTTACTTTCATGCTTCTGGTGTAATTGGGCACAACACTGTCTGTTTTTAATTTAAGATATTTTGAACGTTTTGATGGTTCAGAACATCTCCCAGAGTGATAAAGCGATCAACCACAAGCACGAGTATGTTAAGTCTTTAAAACAACTATATACAAAACCAAAGGCTCTCCTAAAGAGAGCTTCTGCCCCATCACAGCTTCATTTGGAAACCCTCCATTTCAGGGAACTTGTGTTGGTTTTCCAAGCAGAGACTAAGGATTAAGCATGGCATGCCTGGCTCATGCCCCAGCCAACCCGACGTGCCTCCCCAACAGCCTATACAGCGTGTAAAACCTTGGCAACAGACAAAGCAAAATGGTAAAACTAGTTGAAGGTCAGATCCCTTCAGCAGACACTTTGAAGTCTTCAAAGTAGAGTTTGCCTCTGCAGTCAGCAGTCTCCATTCCAAAGAGTGCTACTCAACAGACAGAGGGTGGCCTCAGCTCATACTATGGGGGGGGGAAGGGGGGCTGAATGACTGATGGGTTCCATTGGAAACACAGGCAAGTCTCGCCTATCAGCTTCCAGGGTAAATATATGCTCCAGTGAATAACCTTCAGGATTAAGATGGTTTTTTATGCTAAGAGGAGAGGCTGAAAATAGGGATCTTCTGAGTGAAATTGATTTTTCTTCCTGACATAATCTGCTGAAATGAGTCAGGCAGGAAATCACACAGGAGGAGACTAGAAAACCTCCAAGATCCCTTCCAGCTCCATTGTTTGATGTTCTATGTTCTTGTCATGTCCAAGTGGGATGGGGGAGAAGGGGAGGCCTTTGCTGGGGTCGGGGGAGGGGCTCTTGACCACCTTTCTTCCTTGTATCATCCCAGCTCTTTGTTAGGAGCCTCTCAAGCCGGCTGGGAGTCTAATTCAGCTCCTTTAAATTCTGATAGCATCTGTTCTCCTTAGCCTTAACGAAACTCGCCCAAGACGTTTGCTCTCAAGAACATCCCAACCACTCGGGATGGTTACCCATTTACCTTATAGTCATATCCAGCACTGAACAGGATGTTGGTGGTGGTTGGGTGCCACTCGATGAGGCCAACACGCCGGCTGTGGCCATACAGCTCCAGCACAGCCTCTGTCATGTTGCGCTTCAAGCCTCCGTCCGGGATTTCCCATATCCGAACCTGGAAGGACGAAAGAGCAAAGGCTGCTGTGAGCCAACTGCCTCTCCACCTCTGAAAAAACTTGGGCTCTGGAGATTTTCCTTCCTCCTCCAGGCATCTCACTGGGCTCCCTTATAACTGCTCTGGCCCTCGATCCTCTGATAATTCAACAGAGGTTTGCTTGACACCTGCAGATGCTGCCCATGGACATACCTGAGGGAGGGAGGGAGGGAGGGAGGGAAGGGCCTTGCTACCCAGAGTGGTACAGAACTCTTGCCCAGCTCTGCTCCCTGGGCAGCTCCTCCCCCTCCCCCTCCTTTTGCCTGGGCCCATCACTTACTTTGAGCCCCACCTCTGCTGCAGGGAGGCCGGTGACCTTGGGAAGGGAGGGGGTGAAGAAGGTCTGCTGCAGCAGCACTCAGAGCAGGAAAGCAGCCAACTTCACACAAGCATGAAAGCACTACATGGTTCGCTGGCTTCAGATTCACTGAGTCCAGGATTCCACGTCTTATGATTTGAAAGGCACAGTTTATGATTTAACACGGAGCTCAACAAATTTTGGTTTATTTAATAAATTCTTGTTCAAAAACACAGTGCTTAGCCCCGTCCAACTCGGTAGCCCAGTTTGGAGCTTCCAGCGCAGGAGGGACTTCAAAGAAAAGTCAGGAGTGCAAAGAACAATTTATCCTACAGCACAAGATGCCAGCTCAGGTCTTTCTGGCCTGCCATAATTATACAAACTCTTTAGTCACCCTTCAGACTGCAAAGGAGACCATCCACCAGGACCTATAAGAAGCCGCCACAGGAGCATCTGTGGGAAAGTTTAAAAAAAATCAAAATGGTGCCCACAACCATGCAATTGTCACTGTCCATTTTTGCATGTGTTGCGTATATGGTAGGATCACACAGTCATGGCTGCCATCTTGAATGTTTTGTTCCTGGTGAATATCCCTGGGAGGGCAGAAATTAAAATGTCCATCTTTTTAATGCAACCGCATCCTTTACTGGGAGCTGCTACTACTTTGTAGCCATCACGCCAGGCTTTGGATGGGGGGAATGGCTGATCGGTCCTAAATTGTAACCTGTGAACTCCCCCTGGGCAGAGAATCACCCCTTGCCTGCCAGCAAATACTTGGGAAAAGGAGGCACCTTGTATAATCAGGCAACCTAATATAACTGAAGCCACAAACTGCTGCATCTTCTTCAACCTTTCGTTGTTCTGATTCCTTGGAGGGCCTGTGATCTTCAAGCCATGGAGGCTCCTGATAATAGGAGAAGACATTTGGGTGGTGACTGACCTATTTCCCAAGCAGGTCCATTTCATCCCTTGTCAGAAGATCCCGATCACCAAAGCTCTAGCAAAACTATTTCGACTCCTTCCCCTCCACTCAGGGTGCTTAGAAAATCAAGGGAACCACAAGAGATGGTACGGGGCTTTGTGCTTTCTCCTAGCTCTCTTCCAGTGCAATGGACATAAGCAGCTACTGAGTAAATTCTTTTTTTAAAACCTGTACAACTATTTTTAAAGTTGCAATTGTCCTTTTCTTATCGTAGTGATGTAAGAATGTTATAAAACATAATGGAATACAATGAAAAGCCTATTACATAAAAAGGAATGTTTTTTTTAATAGGAATTATTTCAGATCAGTTGTTTTCAGATGTTTCCTGGCCTAAGAAGTCATCAAACTGATGACAGCCTCTTGGATGACCTGTAAACCACCAAGGAAGAGGTTGGTCAAATATGAAAAGATTCCAGTGTATCTGCTTTCGGCAGTTAGCTCCCCAAAATATTATTTATGTAAAGTAAAACACTTTACTTACTGAAGTGTCTTCGGAGCAAGAAGCAATGATGTTTTCAATGAAGGGGTTCCACTTAATATCAAGCACGTTGCCTTGGTGGCCACAGACTTTGGGGTAGTTTGGTTCAATTCGGCCAGTCTGTAATAAAAGCAATCAAACATCCACGATCATCAAATCCTGTAGAGTCAATAAGATAACTATCAATAGAAAATCAACATGGGGGAGACTGGATGGATTTATTACAGTAAACTGGTAACTACTTCTGCTTGCACTCTGACTCAAAGATAGACATATTCTGGAGACTGAATTTATTACATTTAATTAAACAACAATTGCCAAAAGAGGATATTAAGAAACAAACATGGATTTTGGACCCGATATGATCTATTTATAACTTTTTGGGACGATCCGGTATAGTTAAGATGGCATGGTAAACTTTAATTTTGTTCTGTTTTACTATTATTGTTTTCCCTGATAACTACTTTGTCACTAATATAACATATAGAAGACAGGTCAACAAGTTGCTAATAGATTTAGTAGTTTAAAATTTTGGGGAGGGCCTGTTTTGCAAGGTGTGGGAACTAACTCTAGTAATATATTAATCAGTATTCAACTAGAAGGGATAATATGTGTATACAGGTATTCCTTGAATTATGAGAGTTCAGATACAACACCCCCCCCAAAAGCACTTAAGACCCATTCCCGAAGTTACATATACTGCACCACCCCAGCAGTTGTTTGCCTTACAACTGACCCCCATCCTACCCTGCCAGGCAGTGAGAATGGATGATGGACTGATTATGTTTGGCAATGCTGAAGGAAACAGAAGACGATGGTACAGATATGGCAGATGGGCAGAATCGAGAAATTAATGGAATATCCTTGAAAAACTATGCGTCGGTGAGCTTTCAGAATAAAACCAGGCTCAGTGGCCTCTTACTAAGAAAGAGCTCAAACTGGAACAAGCAGCTTGGGCCTGTGTCTCCCTCTCACACGCCTCCTGTCTTGCTCCCAAGGATCGCTCTCTTCCTGACTCTTGATTGTCTTCCTGAGGATGAGTTGCTGGAGAAAAAACTTGAGACGTGAAGACATTTCCTGACTGGTCACTGTTGTGAAAGATGCTGAACTAGGCGGGGCCGCAGTGAGCTGGCTGAACAGGGATGTCCTTTGTTCAGATCAAAATGGAAATAATTTTCTTCCTGGCAAATTGCCACATTAGCAGGAGAGCACAACGCAGGAAGTGTTACTGTGCGCCTTCAGATTACAAAAGGAAGTGCTGTATACGGTCCAGGCATGCTTATTTCAAAACAAGCATCATTCCCAGGCCTTATTCAAACAATGCACAGCCAAAATAAAGCATTCCGTATATCTTACTCTCTGAATCTTAAATAAAAACTTATCTTTACAGAGCAAAACTATCTTTAACAATTGAAACCAGCAGAGGGTGCTCTTGGGCCTGGAACACATGGAGTGAAACGTTCAATTTATGGTATAATCAAGAAATGGTTGATCAATTACTCCGTATTATACTGTAGGAAGTTCCTTGCCTGATTGAGGCCACAATCCTTGTGTGCAGGAGGACTGACTGGCAGTGGGTTCTTTGCCCCCATCCTTGTCTGACCTGTCTTTGTGGAGGAACTGGCCGCTCTTGGGCCATTTTTTTAAGGTTTCTTGCAGAAGTTTTTCTTTTTAAAATGTCTCTGTAGTTGGCTTGCAGTGTGTTGAGTGGGTGTTTTTTGGCTCCTGATTAGTACATGGAAGCTGGGATTTATATATATATAAATTAGAGACATCTCTCTTTCTGTCTCTCTGTCTCTCTCTCTCTCTGTGTGTGTGTGAGTGTGTGTGTGTAGCTAAGATTTCTGATCTCTTGGCAGGAGGACATATTCCCTCAAGAGAAAGAAATACCGTGGCAGGGGGGAGGGGAGTCATGATGAGGGAGTCATTTTCATAGAAGCCAGTAAGAACATAATGGCAAGGAAGTTAGATTTCTGAGTTTAATCTGTTCTTTTCAGTAGTTTCTAGGTTACCTTAATTTATTTATGCTAAATATAGAAGCATATTAATTAGAAAGCTGCTCACTTCAAGAGACTTCAGTAGATTGCAAAGGAGATAAACTCATTTTACTTTCCCAATCCGCCCATTAATTATGAAAAGGCCTAAAGATGTGGTCACTTTCCCAATTGCTGACCTCGGAAACAGCGTTTCCTCCCTCAGTTTTCAACTCAAAGGAGGCAGTCATAATAGTCAGTGGCTATCTGCGGCTGCAAGAGGAATTTTCTCCGTCTTATCAGGAAGGGCTAAATATTTACCTGCCGTGATTTGCATAAAATTGCAGGCATAGAGTCTGGCAGCTGAGATATAGGCCCACAAATATGAGCCAGCAATGTGCTGTGGCTGCCAAAAAGGCCAACACACTGCTAGGCTGCATTAACAGAGGGATAGAATCAAGATCACGTGAAATATTAATACCACTTTACAATGCCTTGGTAAGGCCACACTTGGAATACGGCATCCAGTTTTGGTCACCACCATGTAAAAAAGATGTTGGGACTCTAGAAAGAGTACAGAGAAGAGCAACAAAGATGATTAGGGGACTATTGCTCTAGCTAGTCTGCTTTTTGTATTTATACTAATATCTCTGCTTTTCCAGAGATGTTAACCACTGCAGTGTGGCTGAACGTTAGCCTATGTTTGAGAGAGGGGCTATTCCAAGTGCGTGAAAGCAACAGCTTCACCCCAAGACACCTTTGAGGCTCAGGGGCTACTCAGTGTACAGGACATGGTTTTAATCCAAACAGCTTGAATTAAAAGTAGCAGGTGGCAGAGTGGTACTGAAGACTCCTGAGCACTCCTTCCTGCCACCAGTGATGATCCCACCATCAGCTGTGCAACCAGCCCCATGGCCCCTCCTAATATATACGGAGATGCACAGTGGGATGCCCATTTCAAGTTTGTTGGCAGGGTCACCAATGCACTCTGGAGAGTTGCAATATAGCTGCCATGAAGCAGCTGCTTTGGCCAGCAGACAGAGGAGAGAGCTGGTGAGAATTCAGCGCAACTCGGATCCAGGCTAAGGGCGTTTTTCTCTGGATGTCGTAACTTTGGAATCAGGTCATAAGTAGCTTTTGGAGATCCACTGTAACTTCAAACAGTTGCTAAACGACTGGAGATGAGTTGGGTACTACCTGTATGTTGGGTACTACCTGATGTTACATTCACAATCACCCTCTGATTAGGCTGGGACATGGGTAGCTGCTTAAAGTGACCCGAAGAGCATCACAGCGCAAACTGTTGGCACTGCAAGAGATCTTCTATGGAAGGTGCCCTTCCACCACGTCTTCTCTACAGTGTTCATTCCCCTATTTTTGCCCAGCCTTCAGGCAGTGACTTGCCTGGGTTGGCTATTATGTGGTGCCCACCCCCACCTCATATGTTTCATCCCTCCACAAAAAAATATTTGCGGAAGGTAAAACAAAAGTAATTTCTTTCCCAGACTGAAAACTGAGATGAACCAAGATCTGTTCCAATAATAATAATACTTTAGCAAAGTGTCACTTACTTGTTCCAGTGGAATGACAAGAAAAGAGCCCCCACCAGCACTTTCTGTTACTATGGCGAGGAATCTAGTATTGACTGCGCAGAAATGGTTGTCATGGACATTCCTGGTAATTGGAATCCCATCAAAGCAGTGCTCTCGATTGGCTACTTTGCCGTAGACATTTCGAAACTTGGAACTGCGATACTGTGGCCGCCATGACATCTGCCAAGGAAATACACATTGTGTGACTAATGCTATTATGTACAAGTAGAATCTCACCACTGTACTCTACTTTAGGTGAAACCTAAGCAAATGAAAAGAACCAATGAGTTTGGCCCAAACCATTCTCTGTTTCCCACAGCTCTCAGGCAGAAAATCCACAGTTCAGAGACATTTTGGTTGGGCTAAGCAAGAGGCCAGCTGGAAACATTCCTACCCTTCTGACACTGACGTTTCAGCAATTTAAAACAATAAAAAGCAGCATCCCCATCAAAGAGAAAAACATCCTTCCAACCCCAAGTCCATTCTCACCTTAGATAAATATTTAAGAAAAAGCCAGTTTAAGGGGTTTAGGGCCCTCAAATTGTCCTGGAAATCTGCAGGAAACCAAGCTAACAAAGTAATATCATAGTTGTCTCCAAGACAGTATGTATCGCCCTCATAAAGGTTGAATGTTATGAAATACTTTTTAACAATAAGAGCAGCTATATAGCAGAACCTGTCCTAGTTCTGCTTGAGAAAAGCTGGACAGCCCCATCTCTTGGGGAGGTTTTAATTTGGATCCCTGCTTTGCATGAGAGTTGAGCCTAAAAGGCCTCTCCCAACCTTCTGATTTTTTTCTTTTGGACTAGAGAAGCCTCCTGTCACATTGAATGGCTCTTCTTATGCCAAAAATGAATTATTTGTATTTAATGTCAGCCATTTCACTTTGCTAAACTATCATATTTCCCAATGTGAATGAGATACATCCAAAGAAACAGGCACAATTCTCTCCATTTTTTCCCCTTCATTCTTTGGGAAAGGAATGTAACATGTTTTTTGCAAGGACTGGTCTACAAGTGATGATATACCCCATGATAGCTCCCAAGACCAACTGCCTGCCAAGGCTGGCTGTGCATGATGTCAACCCTGAGTGGTAGCAGCCAGCCTGACACCAACCTGGGTGAGGGAAATTCTGCTGAAGTCCTTGAAAGCTATCCATGGACAATAAGTCAACTGAATGATAAACGTCCTCTCCCAAAAAGGGCCACGTGAGTCTCCATGTTCTTGGGGTGGAGACATTGGGCAAGGCACAGAGCCTGTCCTTAAGAGGTGTGCTCTGGAGGAATCAAGCTCGTGTCAAGCCAAGCCTTGCGATCAGTAGGAGCTCTCCAAGGTCCTGCACATTCTGCCATCCCCTTGAGACTTCTAGTCCTGGGCAAAGTGAGAGCCTGAATTCCCATCAAAAAAGGGACCTGGAAGAGGATTTCCCTCTTCTCCCTTCCTGAAATCATTTCCTTTCATTAGACATTAGATATGGCTTTTGCATAGAGCTTCTTTTAAACAATCCAACTGATTAATCATTCATCTTCCAACTACTTTCTGGGCCCAACATAACAACTCAAGAAATATGATCATAAAAGCCCAGTCCAGCACAATACCACTGAAAAAGAAAAATATGAAATGCAAGAAGAAACTAGCATGGTTGTACAAAGAAATTTCCTGATAGTTGAAAACAATTAACTAGTGGAATGGCTTGCCTTCAGAAGTTGGAGGCTTTTAAGAAGAGACTGGACAGCCATTTGTCTGAAATGGGTATAGGGTCTCCTATTTGAGCCAAGGAGTTGGACTAAACACCTCCAAGGTCCCTTCCAACTCAGTTATTCTGTTATTTTGCCCTCTGGTTTGTCTACTCAAAGATCTTGGATCAGGACTCTCATTTTAAGTTTCTGTTCCAATAGGAAGAAGATTGGGAAAAATGCTAAGGAGCAAAGGCTTTGGCTTTCATTATTACTGCCTGTGAGTTTTTTGCTTAATTGCAATATTGCAAAGAAAGATGTCTTCATACTTGTGTCAGGAATTTCCCTGGGAAGATGGGAGAATTATGAACTACTCTTATGTCACCATCTCAGCAAACACAATCAAAATCTCTGGTGGAAAAAAGCCTCACCTCCTTTGCCCAGCTCATTGGAATATAAAGGCAGCTGTTGAACAAAAAAATATGTAGCTACATAAAAACACTTATATTTTAACATGTTTAAAAAACTGCCCTAAACATTTTGAAATAAATGAAATCTAATTAAGTAATGCCCTAGTTAAAAGACAATTGGGTTTAAGTTGATCCTACAAAATTGCTAACTAGAATGCTATCATTCCAGTAATACTAATAATGTTGCAACTATCAACCAATCACAGTAATCAAATTGTTACATTTACCATACAAGGAAAATACCAGTCAATATTAGGATTCTATTCTCTTTCATCCAGTCATGAAATAGAAGCAGATCTCAGTGCAATGACCACGTCTCAGTTAGAAAGTTGGGGATTTCTGCAATGCATTTTCTATGTGCTGCAGAATAATATTTGGAAATCTATTTTGAAACTGTAGGCAGAGGCTGTTAGCAAGGCCTGTACTATGTGGAAACAGTTTCCTTGGTGAAAAACCTACGTCAGTCTCCTATGTGTTGCCAGGTACCCTAACAATGCTCAACAAGGTGACCTATTCCTTTTTCCTTCTAAAGCTAGCTCAAAACAGCCCAGGATCTATAATTTGCTTTAGCTGCTCGAAAGCATGGCTGGGGGAGTAGTGAATTACAAAATATTATCTGTGGGGAAGATTTGGCTCATAGCTCAAAGGACAGAAAGCCATTTTACACAGGTAGTCCTTGACTTATGACCCTTTTTTTAGCAACCATTTGAAGTTACAATGGACCCCCTCCCCCCAAAAAAGTACTTAAAACCTGGTTCTGAAGTTCCAAAGGTTGCCCCACTCTGCAATCACGCAACAGCATTTAGGGTGCTGGTTAACCAGCCTTCACCTTGGGTCATTTGTGGCATCCTATGCTCATAAAACCATGGTTTACGACATTTTTGCCAAAAAATACAGAGTTGACCACTGCAAAAAAAAGTTGTAAAATTGGGTCAATCACGTGATGATCTGCTTTATTACTGTCACAACCTACAACTGTAATGGGCAGCCTCCATTACGGCTGGCCGTGAGTTCAGGATTACCAGTAGAAGGGGGTTTTTTTGATGCCCTTTAGAGATGTTAAGATTCTCTCTCCTGTAATTTCTATTTATAGTTAGAAATTCTAGGAATTGTGGTCCCAGGTAAAAAGCAAATCAGAGCAGCAATATTGTGATAATCAGTTGTGATTTTAGTTCCACTGCCCATCCGGCAGCCGACGTGGGAGGGTTTTTGGAAAGACAGGAGAGAGGAAGAAAAAAATAAATGGCAAGGAAACAAAAGAGTTGCTCATTTCCACGTAAGATGGAAGCCAGGGGCAAAAGGCAGCCACTCCAGAGATATCTACGAATATCAAAGCTCTGATGAGCTCAAAACACAATTCCCCAAAGCCTATTTAGCATGATTTTTCTTTTCTGGCCGAAGAAAAGCCAGCAGCTGGTCACCACCTTCTGCCTTCAGAGCCATTAGGAAAGCAAAACTGCTCTCCAGTCTTTATACCCTAAGCTGATCAGTGAGGGGAAAAGGCTTTTTTTGATGGGGGGGGGCAAGCATTTCCAAACTGGGTTTGACGTGGCGAGCAGGATCATTCCAGAAGGATTATCTCATTGCTCCTGAGGGGCACCAAAGCGATGATGCAAACTGACAGCTGATCTGCATACACTGAATTCTGACTGCAGGCCGCCATTCCAGAGGGCTGATCGCAGGAGAAAGTGTGCCCCACCCCCATTCTCCACCCCCACCCCTCCCCTGCACGTTCTTAGGGGACCCAGAGGACGGGGGGGGGGCCCTGCAGACCAGATCTTGGCTCAAAGGTATCCGCCAGGTAAGAGACAGGCAGTGCCAGGAAACCTTCTCACCGGAGCAGGCTATTTGGTGACTCAGCCTGCCTTGGGAAGCTGCGAGTGGCCAGCCTGGCGTCAGTAACTCTGCAGGGATGACTCTGTGCTCCTGGGGTGCTGATCTTCTCTGGGGAGTCAGACCCCAGTTGGGACCCACCGACCAGTCCCAAATGGTCACAGAGCAAGACTGTTCTCCACACAAGCCCTCAGGGTTGTGGGCAGCAGATGTCTACAATGGCGCAAAGAGCCACGGCCCCTTCGGCCCTCTGGGCAGAAAGGCTCCATTCATGCTGGCACGAAGCAGGCACTGAAGCCATGAATAGACAAACCGGCCCTTCAGTGGCTTCCAAGTATTTCTCCTCAAGCACAGAAGCAGATCAGATCCGAGAGGAGGACTAGGAGGCCTGGGGTAGGGGGTGGGGGGTGTTGTTCCCCAGCCAAATCACAGAGCAATATCTTTTCTTTTAGAAACTGAGTATTGTTTGACGGCCACCCCTGTTCCTGACGCTGTGGGGACCCAGTCTGAGGGCTTGATCTGTGCTTCCTTTCCGAAGAGCTTGGCCTGCCTCTGCCACTGCAAATCCAACTGTTCAGTTTGTCTCACAAACAGTTGTGGGACCCAGTTCTGTGTTCCGCCCCTATTTCCTGCTGTTATTCCTAGAAGGTGCCTCTGTGGGTCGGTTCCTTGCTCCTTTTGCTCTCTCTCAGCATCTTCTCTGTCCCTCTTGGTATATTTGGATTTCAGTAGAAGGATCAGTAAAAGCTTTGCTTTCCATTTCCTCTTGAGGTTACGTCCTACAACTGACCGTTCAGGTCCCCAGCCCTGTGGTTAGGCCCCACATCCTTCTTTGTTGAAGTAAGTCTTGTGTCGGGCAAGCAGATTCTGATTGTGGGTTGTTGTTTTTTTTGTTCCTCCTGCACAGAACTAAAATCTTGCATACATTTTATTATGTATGGACTAGATGACCTCCAACTTTACTACTATTACTATTACTAGTCTCCATCTAGTAGAAGTAATCTATATTGTTATTTACATTTGTTTGTGCATCTTGTTAAATATATCAATATTCAGCAAATGTATATAGAATTAATACTAAACTCCTAAGCTGGGTTTCTAGTCACGATGTCAGTTGATGGGCAGTCAGGAAGAGAAATGGATTTAACTAGTTCCTACAAAGTATATAATTCTGCAGATTATGATTCTGCAAATTGTAACG